CCGCTGGACTCCGCTCAAAAGCGGCCCCCAGGCCTCTCCCGGAATCCGTCCTGACCAAGGTTTCGCGGCGGGCCCACCCGTTGCGACGAGAAGCCTCTAGGGCGCCCAAGCAAGAGGCGGGGGTGAGGGGGGGGGGGTAGGGCCTTATAGTGGGCCCTGGAAACGACAGGGCCGCTTTTCTACCGGTTCCGGTTTGCCGTTTTTGTTGCCGGCTCCGACGCCGTTCTTTTTTTTTCTGGTTCCGTCGCCGTTCGCTTGCGGGTTTCCGCTCCGGGTCCAATCCTGGAGCCGTCCGTTTCCGGTCGCCGTTTTTGTTGCCGTTTCCATCTTCAAGGGACATCTCTTCGGAAACGATAAAAAAACGGCCCTGCCGCGTCTGGGCCCCATCCTTTCGGAAACGGTAAAAAAACGGCCCTGCCGTTCCGGGCCTCACAGAGGTAAGGGGGTGTAGGGCTGAGCCTCGAAGCAGACCCAGACCCCCGACGTAATGATTTTTTCATTACGTCGACCCCCAAAGGTCTGGACCCTTTCCCCATGACCGGCTTTGCATCCTGAGTCGTTTTTTGACGCTCCCGAGGCCCGGTGAGGGCCCCCGCAGGCCGAAAATATGGGAAAACCTCCTGTCATGATTTTTTCATTACTCGAAGGGGTCTGGGAAGCAGGCGGGGGCGGGGGTCCTTCACGAACGACCAGTCGACGAGGTCGACCTGCATGGGGCTCACCGCCAGCCGCACGCTCGCGAAGAGCGCTTCCGCCTGCGCGGCGCCCTCCGCCGACCCGTCCGGGGGGGGAGGAGGAGGCAGCAAGGGGGAGGAGGAAGGAGGGAGGGAAGGAGGGAGGAAAAAAAAAGGAGGAGGAGGAGGAGGAGGAGGAGGAGGAGGAGGAGGAGGACCGGGGTGGGGGGGGGCGGGGACAGGCCTGGCAGGAGGAGGAGGAGGCAAGAAGGGGGAGGAGGAAGGAGGGAGGGAAGGATAAAAGGGGCTGAGGAGGAGGAGGAGGGGGAGGAGAATGAGGATGAGGATGAGGATGAGGATGAGGAGGAGGAGGAGGAGGAGGAGGAGGAGGAGGAGGATCACTGACCAAATTGCGAGGTCTGCGGACACCAACTGGGGACACCCATTGTTCGGGGCGCACCCCAGTTTACAGCCGAAGCCTGTTGGGGGTTGCTACAAGGAGGAAGGGGGAAAAAGGGGCGAAGCGGCAGACGAGGGAAGAAGAATAGGAATAGGAATAGGAATAGGAATCGGAATCGGAGTCGGAATCGGAATAGGGATAAGGATAGGAATGAAACTGGGACGTGGACTAGGAATCGCCATATGGCGCCTCACCGTCTGTCCGAAGGAGAGCAAAAGGCGCCTCCGCTTTACTACGGTCGGCCGAACCAGCAGACAGCGCGCGGGCCAACGCAGAGACGCTGACGCGGGCCCAATGGCGTGCCCCATGGCCCGCAGCTGAGCGGCTGCCACCAGCAGCGCCGCCGTCGAAGAAATGCTTGCCTGAACGACGCACGCATGGAGCGGCGAAGGGTGCCTGACGCTACGCACTACGCTTCTAGCGCCGCCGACGGCAAGAACATGGAGCCCCACCATCAACACTTGTTGGTCGGCGGGGCGAGAGCGAAGCTCTTCCGCCAAAAGCTAGGCGGCTACGCACAGCTTTGATTAAGGAGACAGGGCACAGGCAGGCGGGGCCTCAAGCGCAAGACTCTCGAAAACACCACCATAGAGACCCTCCGGACGGGGGGGCCGCAGGCCCACCCCCACCCCGCGGGGCCCCGCTGGCAACGCCCCTTTCCGCGCCGTCCAGCACCCCGTCCGCGGCTGGTCGGCGGTCTCGAGGGAAGAGCAACGGCACTCCCCATCTCCGGGGCAGCCTGACCCGAGAACAGGGGGCGAGCGGAGCCAGATGAGGGGCTCAAGGCCAGGAGGAAGAGGGACAGCAAGAGGCATCAGCAGACTGAGTGACTGGAGGAACGGGCCTGAGACAGGCCCAAAACTCGCCTCGAACCCTGTTATGACAGGCTTCCAGATTTTAAACGGGCCACTGCCCGTTCGCTGCGACTCCAGTCAAACGCCCGGCTAGAAGCAGCTGTCGAAGCTATCACGCCTGGTCTACGAGACGCTGAGCCTGTGACACGAACACCCCTCGCGGAGCCCCTCCGATCGTCTGCTCGCCGCCCTCAGACGCCAGCGTGGACCGCGCCGCCTTCAGGATGTCGCCCACGTTCGCCCGCTGGCAGGAACGGCGCCTTCGCCATGCTGCCGCCGCTCTTGGACTTGGACTTGATCCTCTGGCACTTGCGAAAGCGAACCATGTCCGCGAGGTCCTCTTGGCTGTCCATCTTCATCGCCATCTCTCGGCAATGCTCGAGAGCTGGCGCCCTCTCGGGCTGGAACTCCATCGATCCTTCTGGCGCCGCCGGCACCCGCTGGATGAACGCAGCGAGAGCTTCGATGGAAGGGGGCGCGGGGCTTCTGTTTCTTTTTATGTATATCTTCATTCTTCTTACTATTACAAATTACAATTATTCTTCCTCTCGAAATCGGCGCTGCCATCGCGTTCGGCCTGCTTCTCCTTCCCCGTCTCCTCCTGCACCTCTGAATTCAATGCCTGGCTTTCCGCGAGCATGAGCTGGCTGGCGGGCGGGCCCCGGTCGCGCATCCATGCGTCGTAGACCGCGCCGACGAGCGCCCGCAGCTCCGCCTTGTCCGTCGGTGCCAACTTGGCGATGACCCCGGCCAGCTCGCCCATCGCATGTTTCTTTCTGCCTTCGCCGCCTCATTTGTCCGCCATCTCTCCTGCTGGAGCCTGCCCGCCCGCGCTGGCCGCAGCGGAGGGGCGCCCGCCATCTCGGCCGCCGGGGCAGGCCGGGGGAGCGCCCTCGAGCGGGGCGCCGCCGACGGAAACGCAGCAACGAAGGCGCCGATCGCAGACGCGAAGAATTCCAGGGGCACGCGCGCGGACGCGCGGCTACACCTCCAAGGGCGAAAATGACTTAAATCACGATCCCAGAACACTTGGATCGCGATCCAAGTGTTCCTCCTACCATGGAAGACTTGGATCGCGATCCAAGTCGTTGAGGGGGAGGAAGGAGGAAGGAAGAGGAAGGAAGGAGGAAGGAAGAGGAAGGAAGAGGAAGGAAGAGGAAGGAAGAGGACGGAAGAGGAAGAAGACTCGGAGAAGATTAGGGGGAGGTGTGGGGACACACTTGGATCGTGATCCACGTGTCCCCGCGTTGGCGTCGGAGAGTCGGGGAGCAGACTCGGGCAGCAGAGTCGGGGAGCAGAGTCGGGGAGCAGAGTCGGGGAGCGGAGCCGGGGAGCGGAGTCGGGGAGCGGAGTCGGGGAGCGGAGTCGGGGAGCAGAGTCGGGGAGCAGAGTCGGGGAGCAGATCGGGGAGCGGAGTCGGGGAGCAGAGTCGGGGAGCAGAGTCGGGGAGCAGAGTCGGGGAGCAGAGTCGGGGAGCAGAGTCGGGGAGCAGAGTCGGGGAGCAGAGTCGGGAAGCAGAGTCGGGGAGCGGAGTCGGGGAGCAGAGTCGGGGAGCGGAGTCGGGGAGCAGAGTCGGGGAGCGGAGTCGGGGAGCGGAGTCGGGGAGCGGAGTCGGGGAGCAGAGTCGGGGAGCAGAGTCGGGGAGCGGAGTCGGGGAGCAGAGTCGGGGAGCGGAGTCGGGGAGCCCGGAGTCGGGGAGCGAGTCGGGGAGCGAAGAGTCGGGAGAGCGGAGTCGAGGGAGCACAGAGTCGGGGGGCGGAGTCGGTAGCAGAGTCGGGGGGGAGCGGAGTCGGGGAGCGGAGTCGGGGTAGCTAGAGTCGGGGAGCGGAGTCGGGTGAGCGAGTCGGAGTAGCAGAGTGGGAGCATGAACGGGGGCAGAGTCGGGGAGCGGTGAGTCGGGGAGCGGGAAGTCGGGGTAGCAGAGTCGGAGAGGGCAGAGTCGGGGAGCAGGAGTTCGGGTGCGGAGTCGGGGAGCAGAGCGGGGAGCAGAAATATCGGGGAGCAGATCGGGGAGCGGTGTCGGGGAGCAGGCGTCGGGTAGCAGTGTCGGGGAGCGGAGTCGGGGAGCAGAGTCGGGGAGCGGAGTCGGGGAGCGGAGTCGGGGAGCGGAGTCGGGGAGCAGAGTCGGGGAGCAGAGTCGGGGAGCGGAGTCGGGGAGCAGAGTCGGGGAGCGGAATCGGGGAGCAGAGTCGGGGAGCGGAGTCGGGGAGCAGAGTCGGGGAGCGGAGTCGGGGAGCAGAGTCGGGGAGCGGAGTGGGAGCAGAGTCGGGGGAGCGGAGTCGGGGAGCAGAGTCGGGGAGCGAAGTCGGGGAAAGCAGAGTCGGGAATGCGGAGTCGGGGGCCAGAGTCCGGGGAGCGGAGTCGGGGAGCAGGAGTCGGGGGAGGGAAGTCGGGGAGCAGAGTCGGGGAGCAGAGTCGGGGAGCGGAGTCGGGGAGCGGAGTCGGGGAGCAGAGTCGGGGAGCAGAGTCGGGGAGCAGAGTCGGGGAGCGGAGTCGGGGAGCAGAGTCGGGGAGCACAGTCGGGGAGCAGAGTCGGGGAGCAGAGTCGGGGGGGAGAGTAGTCGCAGTCGTAGGTCGTAGTCGTAGTCGTAGTCGTATTATTATTATTATTATTATTATTATTATTATTATTACTATTATTATTATTATTATTATTATTATTATTATTATTATTATTATCATTATTATTATTATTATTATTATTATTATTATTATTATTAGTAGTAGTAGTATTATTAGTAGTAGTAGTAGTAGTAGTCGTAGTAGTCGTAGTAGTCGTAGTAGTAGTCGTAGTAGTAGTAGTAGTAGTAGTAGTAGTAGTAGTAGTAGTAGTAGTAGTAGTAGTAGTAGTTGTAGTAGTAGTAGAAGTCGTAGTCGTAGTCGTAGTAGTAGTCGTAGTCTCAGTGGTAGTGGTCGTCGTTGTAGTAGTAGTAGTAGTAGTAGTAGTAGTAGTAGTAGTAGTAGTAGTAGTAGTAGTAGTAGTAGTAGTAGTAGTAGTTTGTAGTAGTAGTAGTAGTAGTAGTAGTAGTAGTAGTAGTAGTAGTAGTAGTAGTAGTAGTAGTAGTAGTAGTAGTAGTAGTAGTAGTAGTTGTATAGTAGTAGTAGTAGTAGTGGGATAGTGTTAGTCGCTAGTAGTATTTAGTTAGTTAGTAGTTGTCTGTAGGTCTGTTAGTAGTAGTAGTAGTAGTAGTAGTATTCGGATAGTAGTAGTCGTTGTAGTAGTAGTAGTAGCAGTGGTAGTAGTAGTAGTAGTAGTAGTAGTAGTAGTAGTAGCCGTAGCGGTAGTAGTAATAGTAGTAGTACGTAGTAGTAGTAGTAGTAGTAGTAGTAGTAGTAGCGGTAGTAGTAGTAGTACTAGTAGTGCTAGTAGTAGTAGTAGTAGTGGTCGTTACTAGTAGTAGTAGTAGTATTATAGTTAGTTGTGTTAGTTGTAGTAGTAGTAGTATTTTGTAGTGTAGGTAGTAGTTAGTAGTAGTGTAGTTGTGATCATGTAGTTGGTTTCGTCGTAGTAATAGTAGTGTATTGCAATAGTGTCGTAGTAGTAGTAGTAGTAGTCGTAGTAGTAGTAGTAGTAGCAGTAGTAGTAGTAGTAGTAGTAGTAGTAGTAGTAGTAGTAGTAGTAGTAGTAGTAGTAGTAGTAGTAGTAGTAGTAGTAGTAGTAGTAGTAGTGGTAGTAGTAGTAGTAGTAGTAGGAGGAGGAGGCGGCGGAGGAGGAGTATTAGTAGTAGTAGTAGTAGTAGTAATAGTAGTAGTAGGGTCACACTTCATCTACGTGCCTGGCCAAACGTCGCCTTCGTGCAATGAAGAATGTAAAGCGACAGTATAGGATCCCTATTTGAGAATTAAGGAAAACGTCAGTTTCACACGTCACCTTCGCGTCGCCTGCACCACGCGCCACCTTCGTTTACTATGCTTCAGTAAGTAAGCATATTATGTCCTGAGTAAGAAATACAGAAAATGACAGTTTCACACGTCACCTTCGTGTCGCAGCAGATATGGCATGGTTCCAGTAGATGAACACAAGGGCTTCTTGGGGAAACCTTTCCCCTTGCTCACAATGACGACTAAAACCCGGGCGACGCCCTTACGGCGCCCCCAGGACGCCGAGGAATTCGATAGGAAATGGCCGAGTCTCAGCCTACAACAGAATTCTTTAATATTTCGCTGTAGGAATTCCAAAGGAAATGGTCGAGTCCCAGCCTCCAGCAGAATTCCGTAATAATTGCTTATTTTTTGATTAGGAATTCATTAGGAAATGGCCGAGTTCCAACCTCCAGCAGAATTCCTTGATAATTGATTGGTTTTTGAAGAGGAGCTCAACAGGGAATTGTTGAGTCCCCGCCTCCAGCAGAATTCCATAATAATTTGCTGGTCCTTTGATAGGGATTTCATCGGAAGTGGTCGGGCTCCAGTCTTCAACATAATTCCGGAATAACGTAATTATTTTTCAGTCGGAATTCAATAGGACACGGTTGAGTCCCAGCCTCCATCAGAATGCTGTAACAAGATAGGAATTAAATCAGAACTGGCCGAGTCCCAGCCTCCAGCAGAATTCCTTTATAGCTTATTTGTTTTTCAATCGGAATTCCATAGGAAGTTGCAGAGCCCCAGCCTCCAGCTAACTTCTGTACTGCTTTCGAATAGGCATTTAAGGGGGAATTGTCGAGTCCCGGCCTCCAGCAGAAGTCCTTCATACTTTAACGGTTTTGAGTAGGAATTCAACAGGGAATGGTCGAGCCCCAGCCTCCAGCAGCATTCTTTAATAACTTATTGGTTTTTGATTTGGAATTCAATAGGAAACTGCCGAGTCCCAGCGGTCAGCAAAACCTTTTAATAGTTTAACGGTTTTGAATAGGAATTCAACAGGGAATGGTCGAGCCCCAGCCTCCAGCAGCATTCTTTAATAACTTATTGGTTTTTGAATAGGAATTCAATGGGGAGACTGCCGAGTCCCAGCCTCCAGCAGAATTCCTTGATAATTTCTTGTGTTTAGCTGGAATTCAATAGGAAATAGTCGAGCCCCAGCCTCCAATGGCCTCTGGCAAGCGGCGCATCCTGAGGACACCATGCCGGGCCCAGCGGAATTCTATGGCGTCCTGAGCCACCTTGATGGGTCCTGAAGAAGCCGCGAGAATCCTGAGGGACCTTGCGGGTCCCCCAGGAACCCGAAGAAGCCAGAAGGAATTTGGTCAGCCTCAGGAAATGTTCGGGATCGTTGACATCCTTTTTGAATTCGGTGGAATCATGACGAATCCAGAGGAGGCCAAAGGAAACCTAGGGAATCTGGAGGAACGTCGGGGCATTTCCAATAATTGTTTAAGGGCATTTGAAGGCGTCTGGGAGCGTCTGGGGGCGTCTGGGAGCGTCTGGGACGTCTACGCGCGTTTGGAAACGTCCGGGAGTCACTGAGAGCTTCTGAGAACGTCTGAAAGCGCATGAGATCGCCCGAGAGCGTCTGGGGGCGTCTGGGAGCTTCGGGGACGGTTTGGGAACATCTTGTAGTGTGTTCCGC